GATCATAGGCCAAGGGGGAGGGAAGAAATTCAGTTTCCAGTAATATGTGCAATACGTGATTGAAAGAACTTGAAATAAGGGCTGTTAGGTACACTAATAAATCCTGTATACCAAATTGCCAACTTCATTTATTGTTACTCTTTCTCAAACTTTTTCCTTCATTTCAGTTTCCATTTTGAATACAGTTATGTATTTGTGTGTGTGTGTGTGTGTGTGTGTGTGTGAGAGAGAGAGAGAGAGAGAGAGAGAGAGAGAGAGATGGAGTCTCGCTCTGTGGCCCAGGCTGGAGTGCAGTGGTGCAATCTCGGCTCACTTTTTTTGTACTTTTTTTGTACTTTTTGCCATCCAGGTTTAAGCAGTTCTTCTACCTCAGCCTCCCAAGTAGCTGGGACTACAGGTGCACGCCACCACGCTCAGCTGATTTTTATATTTTTAGTAGAGACGGGGTTTCATCATATTGGTCAGGCTGGTCTCAAACTCCTGACCTCGTGATCCACCTACCTTGGCCTCCCAAAGTGCTGGGATTACAGGCGTGAGCCATTGCACCCAGCCACAATTATGTATTTTTAAAGCATATGTTTAGTGGAAGATACCTTGTGATTTCTAAAAAAGTAATTTCTTCCCAAAAAGTTTATATAAGAGAAAGAGAGTATGTGCGTGTTAGTAATTTTCCTGTTTACCAAAGAATCAGAGTCATAAAACAGAATAAAGAATGGAAATGCAGTGTGTCAATATCAGTAAGTGATACATAACTTGGAAAAGCATCATATTACAGGTTGATTTTTTTTTAAACAGAGATATTTTAAATGGAATATTGAGAAAAACTTAAGGCCATCAAGTATATGCAAAAGCATTCGATGTCACCAAGTAAGACATATGCTTTATTCTTTCCTCTGGCCCAAGTAATGAATACTCTTCTCTAAAGTGAATACACATAAAAGTTTCTTCTTGAACTAACCTTCTTTAAATTGCCTGAAGGCTTCCTTTATTTAAGGTTTTATGAGAGCAAGAAAATGAAAAATATGACTATGCAGATATGGAATTATGTTTTCAGCAATAAAGAAAAGGGAGCTTTGCAGATTCCTAAATAATGTGATGCAAACAGACATTTTCTCCACAAATACTCATTGTTCTCAGCATTTTATAGGTACCATAGCATGGTGCATCACTGAAATCAACACAACATGAAAACACTATGTGTGGGCAGCATTTTCCTCAAACGGAGCAAGGAGAGGGAGACACCTCCAGTTACATTTCCCAAGCAGAACACAGTGATGTTGAGCATTGGGCAGCCTTTTATATTTAGTGGGTTTGAGTGTCTAAGGTTCATTATCATCAGTAGGCAGGGACAGGAAGTTCATATTCTCAGTGTAGGAGACAAATGTCGGTAAAGGGACACCAGTCTTTGTTAATTGCAAAAGGAGCACACTACAGCCAGAGGAGGGCTTCTCCTCTCACCACTCCCCAGGGTTCTCCCCGTTCCCCACTCCAGCTTCAGGGAAATCTAGGCAGAATTGATACACCCATACCAGCATCTAATTACAGAGACAATACTGGAAGCAAACTGATTAGGCATGACGTATTAAATGACCTGAGAAGGTTTAATTCTCTGATCATATTCAGACCTGAAGCCTATTTAGGAAGATCCAGTGCATGGGCCAGCTTCTCAAACACTAAACGTTCCCTATCACTGTCACCAGTGACCTGGAAGGGTGTATTTCACTTTCCACAGCATAGGAGGCTTCATGTAGAGCCAGCCTACTGATATGGAAAGGGTTCTTAATCCAGGTTTCATGGGCCCCTAGAAAACCATGTATAGACTTTGTAGGTCTATAGTTCATCCCCTAAAAATACATCTCTATATTGTATATATCTTGTATTTGTCACTGTGTATGTCTGTGTGGAGGAAGGGTCAGTAGCTACTATCAGATTTACTTTTTAAGGGGCTTATGCCCATCCTTATATAGCATACCATGGAGAAGACAGATGGCTCCAAAATACTTTTTCCAGAAAGAATAAAGTGATTATAGCAAACACTTTTGCCAATAATGTCTCTGTAGCAGCTCCATTTTCTCCAACGTAGAGAACTTTTGTAAGTGACATCTTCATTTTGTATTTTTTTAATTCAAAGATTTTTTTCTCAATACAGGACATTTTTCTTAATGCAGAAAAAAATATATCACCCTTGAGAATTAATTAAATTAAAATATAACACCCTTGAGAATTAAATTAAGGACACGACGTAAAGTATTCTGATGTATTTCTGCACCCTCAATATCTGAATGGACTGAGGCAGGGCATCTGGGAAAAAAGGGAAAAATTCAGTTTGTCTTCCACACGTTTTCTCTGTACCAGTTGTCTCCAGCTGGAGGGCAATTTTGTTTCCTTAGGAATATTTGGCAATTACTGGAGACATTTTTGGCTGTTGATGGCTGGGGTGCAGGGCTGCTCTTAGCAGGCAGTGGGCAGAGACCAGGGATGTTGCTAAACATCCCACGTTGCACAGGACAGTCCTGCAACAAAGATTCATCCATCCCAAAATGTCCTTAGTGCCGAGGTTGAGAAGCCCTGGTCTACAGCATGACTACTGTTTTTGCCACGGTCTTCAAACCAGGCTAATCCCTCCGCACCCCACTTACCAGCCAGCCATAAAAGTAACTTCCAGTTCATGTTCCAGTTTGTCAATTGTTTAACCAGTCTCCTCCCCGTGGGACCTTATTTATTCTCGTCTTGTTGCTGGACTTCAAATCCAACACTGCTTCCACTGGTTTGAAAATCTCCCTTACTTCCTGTCTGGCATTTTGGACCTCAGTACAAAACAGTTTTGGTTGTTTTGTTATTGCTGAGTTGGTTTTTTCCAGCTCCTCTGACCTCAGCGTAGGACTACATCTTAGCGCCCAAGAACTCCAGTTAGACAGACTTGAACTTGAATCTCAGCTTGGTCATTTAGCAGCTTCAAATTCTCTTGCGATGCCTGGCACCAATCCTGCCCCAGAAAAATCTTCTTCTTCTTAAGGAAATAACTATTATTATAGTATGATCAAGCTAATGCAAATATAGCTCTCGTGTTGTGAGGCTTCTGTGAGAATGTATGCAAATTATGGTTGTCAGCTGAGGCTGGTTCTTTGTAAGCAACAGGGGTACTTCAAATAAATGAATTACAGGATCTACTCATTACCAGGTTGAGAACTGCTGGTTAAAGTGCTGGACTCCTTGCCTGGCACACGATTCATGCTGTTGAGGTGCACCTGCTGTTGTTGCTGCCATGACCATTGTCTGCCCCTCTCCTAGTTCCCCTGAACCCAGCTCTCCATCACTGCCCTCCAGGATATGAGGATTTAAATGGAACAAACTTGGGGAATTGGCTGAAAGTTTCATTTCTCTTATAGACTTAAGAAATCCCATAGCCATAATTTTAGTCACAAAGCATAGCTTGATGAGTAGAGCCATAAGATTGTATTCTTCTTTTAATTGATCTATAATAATAATACATTTGTATGGGGTATATGTGACTTTTCTATGTATGCATACAGTGTGTAATGATCAGATCAAAAAGATTTTATTCTTGACTGTAGAGTCAGTAATTGAGGGTCCTCTCCTCTGAGCAATGTCCTTTCTCTTTACATCCATTCTTAAAAAGGGCTCATTTCCATATGTTTTCTCTTATATAATATAGTGGCTAAAGAAACATGGTATAGTAATGCCTGGGTTGTTAAACAGAAAATCCAGACATCCAGTAAATTCCATTTTTGAGCCACTGACTTAATTTAATAAATATTTATTGGGCATTGGTATTGAAGTACTAGGTATTGGAGTTAAAGTGGGCTAAAACATAAGGTGAATAAGACAAACCAATCAGAGCTTCACTACTCTAAAAAGTATCAGCTGTAATGCATTGAGTCTTTGTCATGTGCCTTGCAATGTATTAGCTGTCTTATGAGCATATCTCATTCCAAACCTTTCTTGCAAGGGAAGAACTATTATTCTTATCTTATTCCCAAGTTACTTAGAGCTTATACAGATCCGTTCATTTGGCATACCTAGCTCCTAAACAAACAAATAAGTCTTATAGCCACCTGGCATTTTGCAGCACTTTGCAATTATGTTGGAAAAGCATATGGTTCTAAAATATGCGGCATACAGTAAACACAGCTTAAGGTATAGTAATTATAAGAGCATTCTACATAGATCGCCCCATAAAAGTGTCAATCCATTTTAAAGACAAGAAAAACTGAGTCTCAGAAAGCCTAAGTCACCTGAGGCCTCGCTGTTATTAAGTGTTGAAGCTGGCACTGAGCTCTGACTGTCTCCTGTGGTGTTCTTCCAAATACCTGATACTTCTGAGAGTCATTATAGATAAACTCGCCAACAAATAACCTTCTGTTCTCCTGGACTCAAGATACTGTGGTTGCAGAAGAAAAATCCGCTTTCCTTATTTTACCATCCAGGCTCCTCTTCTTTATGTTCAACAGTAAGGACTCCATGCTTGGTATATTTCTTCTTAATGTGTCTAAAAGTGAGAAGAAACATGCTTGGCATATTTCTTCTTAATGTGTCTAAAAGTGAGAGAAGTAGAAAGTGCCCTGAAGCATTTTCTACCTCTTGATCTCAGGAATCCCCTATGTCCTGGCAGGAAACTTGATGCCTATCCAGAAGCAAAGTTCACTTGGCCGCCCTCACTGCAGAAACGTGTTGCCACACCAAATGCACTTCCCCCTCCTGCTGACTAAGAGCAGCCAGTGGCCACCGCTATTGACCTGAGCTCTAATTAAGCTCATTTTATAATGAGGAAAAGAGTACGATTCTAATTAGTAAATTTCCATCTCTTTCTTGATAGGTATCCCCCAGTCAAAGCAATAAACTATCCTCATCACACTGGTTCCATTGCCAAAAAAAAATAACTGTATTGTAAAACTCTAGCAAAAGTGAAGATGGTTCAGGCAACAAGAGAGCGGAATGAGGTTTTATTTGCTGCTAATGAACTGCATTCTCTCTCTTAGGTCCGTGGCGCTCAGGTAGTTGGTTCTGACATGATTGTGACAGTTGAGTTTACTAATCCTTTAAAAACAACCCTGCAAAACGTCTGGATACACCTGGATGGTCCTGGAATAACAAGACCAGTGAGGAAGATGTTCCGGTAAGCCCTGGGTTGGGGAGAGCGGGCAGGCAGTGCAGAGCTGTGGGAAGCTTTCTCTGTGTGTGTCTTTTCCAAGCATAGATCTGCTCCCCAATAAAAATGTCTGGGAAGCTGCCTCCTCCTTGCTGACCGTTTCTGTGGGGCATGGAGAAAAACTAGGACTGGTTTGAACTGCACTTCCATTATTCAATCCTTAAAGCCACCCTAATGATATAGATACCGCTATTATCTCCTTTCTGTAGCTGAGGAATTTGAGGCTTTGAGAGGTTGACTGGCGCTTAAGTTACAGAGTTTATGAAAGCAGAGCCAAGATTTAGACTCAGGCTGGCGAATTCCACAACCCAAGTTTGAACTGTCTTGCCATACTACCTACTCATGTATGGATTCTTCTCATCTTTATTGAGGTCCTAACATGTGTCAGATACTATACTGAGACGTGCCCCTTTTCGTGGGTCGTTTGTCTTCAGCCTCACCTCACACATTTTACCGACCCACTCAGTGTCTACAACTGTTGAATTCAGTTGTTGTTGTTGTTGTTGTTGTTGTTGTTGTTTTTAGTTGAACCTAAAGAGTTCTAGATGGTTTCCCATTCAGGGGACCAAAGACGACCCCAGGCTTGGTAACGATATGAATGAAGTTCAGCCTCTTCCACAAACAAACCCCTTCAAATTGTGCTTGACAGGTCTCAGTTTCTGTGACTTCTACTAACAAACAGTGTGACCCTACAAGATAACCCATTCCATGATCAGGTAGCTCTAATGGTAAGGAAACGTTTTTCTACCATTTGATGCTACTAATGATCCTAATTCTGCCATCTGGACTGACATAAATTAAGGCCCATCTCTCTTCCATCTTATGGTTTGCAGATGTTTACAAATAGCTGTCTCATCTTCCTTGAATCTTTTCTACGTGGGGCTAAATATCTGCCCCAACTTTATTTCTCTCTCCTCTAACATGGTTTCAGCTATCTCTCTCTTCCACACACATTCCAATTTGTCACTACTCCTCTTAAAGTGTGACACCAGAATGGATCCCAATCTTTGAGGTTTATTACTTTCATTTCTACCACAAATAAGTCCTTGTCAGCATCAATCAATCTAGCACATTTCCTGTGGGGTGACCTTCTAAAGCATAGAAAGGGAGGTAAAGGACTCTGGAAACTGCCTCATGACTAGATATGTTAAGAATTTTCCTGACACCCTTTATGGAAGCGACCCCACTCTGGAATGTGTGGAATAAATTGTCCCCTCACTTGTCCCCTCTGGGACACCTTTATTACCCATGAAGGGCTCTCTGCATTTCTTTCAAATGACAATGCTCATAGCTTCTGCTTCTCATCATTTAAGAGATGCCTTATTGTGGATGCAATAAACAACAGAGAAAATAATCTGAGTGCTTTTGAAACAACGCAAGCACAAAACATAACAACCTTCCTGTGCTAATAGGAAAGTTGCACGAAAAAAAAAAGAAAGTAAATTAATAATCAACCCCAGCTAGATGGAGAGGTCAGTAGCCATACTCCTGCTTTCATCAGAAACGACAGTCTTGCTCACCCGTTCTTGCACCTTCCCACTCGAATCAGTTGCAAGAATCGTTCAGGCAAAGTGAAACACATTTCCTCTTCCAAACAGCCCCCTGCTGTATCCAATTTTTTCTTTCCAAGACAGTAACCCCACAAGCTTCATATGAGTGTACTAGCACTTCCTCTATCTTTACACCTTGGCTGTCCCCAGGTGAGACACTAAGGTGTCTCACCTTAGTTAAGGCCAACACATGAAAAAGGACACTCCATGTCTTAGACAAAAGATGAATTATCATACAGTGCTATGACCCACCATGTGGGAGGCCTCAGGCTCAAAGTAGGTTAAATCTTCAGATGCTTTGTTTATTCTTTATATCTGACATTGGGGTAGAGCAAAGTGGAGTGGATGGGGAGAAAGGCTGAACAAAGCCAGTCCCTACACGGACACAGGTGTCCTGCCCACACACTGGCTTAAGGTACTATTAGCAGTTACTACAACAGCACCTAAGTCTAGGCAGACAAGTAGACAGACAGACAGTTAGCTGGTCTTAGTCAGTTTGAGCTGCTGTAACAGAAATACCGTAGACTGGGTGGCTGATACCACAAACATTTATATCTCACACTTCTGGATCCTGGGAAGTCCAAGAACAAGGTGCCAGCCAATTTGGTTTCTGATGAGGGCTGTCTTCCTAGCTTGCAGATGGCTGTCTTCTCATTGTGTCCTCACATGGGGACAGAGAGAGGGAGGGCAAGCTCTCTGGCACCTCTTCTTAGAAGAGCCGTAATCCCGTCATGAGCCCCACCCACATGATCTAATCTAATTTAATCACCTCCGCAAAGCTCCATCTCTAAATGGTTTCACACCAGGGTTTCGATGTCAACAAATGAATTTGTGAGGAGCACAAGCATTCAGTCCATAAAAGTTGTTAATCTCTCTTTTTAAATTTTTTTTAATTGACACATTGGAATTGCACATATCTATCTGGTACAATTTGATATTTCAGTACATAATATATATTGTATAATGATTAATAAGTCAGGTATTTAGTGTACTCATCACCTCACGCATTTATCATTTCTTTGTGGTGAGAACTCCCAAAAGCCTGCCTTCTAGCTTTTTGTAATATACAATACCTACTGTTAACCATAGCTGCTTTATCACACAAGAGAACCCCAGAACCTTTTCCTCCTGTTTGTCATTTCATTCTCATTGGCCAACCTCTTCCCATCTTTTCCTCCATGTTCCCCTCCCCAGTCTCTGGTAACCACACTGTTCTACTCTTTGCTTCTATGATATCAACTTAAAAAAATTTTTTAGTGTCTACATGTGAGTGAAATCATACATTATTTGTCTTTCCATGTCTGGTTTATTTCACTTACCATGATGCCCTTCCTCCAGGTCTAATTTCTGTTGTTACAAATGGCATGATTTCATTCCTTTTTATGTCTGAATAGTTACAGAAACCTAGATTCAGGGTAGAATGTCTCCCAGGCAAGAGAAGCTTTATTTCTCAGAGACTGTCAAAAATTGGGCTAAAAATCATGACAAAGAAAACACTTGTTATCTATGCTGGGCTTACAACTTGGAGCAAGAGCTGCTTTCTCTGTTTACTCCTCACTCCAGCACACACCTTCACAACCAAGACCTGAGCCAGTCAGTGCCCACTTCCATATGGTCAGATAATTAGAAACACTCCACTGTGCCCTATGTTGCCAAGATCTGATCTAGGAGTGCCAGATCCATGTAACAACTTGGAGGCCTAGAAAGTGAAATTCCACAGAACCAAAATCTTTTACAAGACTGTTTCTTTCTATCATACAGCTCCTAAATAGTCGAGGAATCACCAACCCCACTCATTCACCCCACCCCCTGACAGATGTGGTATCTAGATGGCAGGGGTTCTTGAGCCCAAAGCAGAGGGCCTGGAAGGTGGGGAGCTGGTAAGAAGGGAATTGGAGCCAGAAACAAAGAAGGCAGTGCTGTACTCACCCCTCACTCGCTGTGAGCCAACTCTACTCTGAAATGGTTTACCTTCCTGCTCTTTCTGCACCACCTCCTGCCTATCTCAGATGTGCAGAGGTTTCACCTCCACAGACTCCCAGCTTTCTGCACTTGATGCCTCCAGAGCATCAAATAATTTACCTTCTAGATTTATTTTGCTCTTTAGAAAATAATCCAATTCGATAAGTTATTTCAAGAGAAAAATTCCCCCACTTTGTGATTTGGGCTTAAATTATAAGTTTCTCAAATAAGACAGAAGCTGAGGGCTAGACACACAGAGGACAAACCATAGGTAGCTGCAGTTTATTGTAATAATAATCCCATTTGCCTTCGTGCATTCAAGATGATAAATGGCTGGTATCTCCTGACGGCTCAGCACATTACTGAGAATCATTTATCATAGCATCCATTCCCAGAAAATAGGATTACTCCAACATTGCTCCACTTACCAAAATGACTTTCTTTCTGTTACGAATTTATCTGTATGTAAAATAGCATGCATATGTATCTTCATGTATGAGTGTTTCACATGTGCACATCATTATGCCAAATGGTTTTATGAGTAAGAGCAAATTATAAGGGGGAGCTGAAGATTTAGCTTCTATTTGAGGTGGTTATGTACAGTACATGGTCTCAGGTTGGGTCCTCAACCAGGGCCATGCACTTTCACAAAGTGCTTCTGATTGGTCACTTGGGGAAACCAGAGGAGAGAGTATGAATGGATACAGGTAACAATAGCACAGCTTTGAGAAATAAATATCCCAAACCTATATTGGTATTGAATTGAGGATTGTGAATTAAGGACAGAGAATTTTCTCTCTGCATACAGGCAGGAGACACTTTTCTAAATTATTTTGCAAAGAGTTCAAGTAGAGGAAAAAGAAGAAGGATGAAGAGGAGGAAGAGGAGGAGGAGAAAATTTCTAACACTACTTGGCACTTACCATATCTTACCTTGTTTCTAAGTATGGTACAAATGTTAACACACCCTAACCTCTCCTCGCTCCATTCAATATTCCTCAGTGTCTACCGTTTACAATTGAGGAAAACAATGATGAGGTCAATGTTTTCCAAACCTTGAATCATAAAATCAATTCACTGGGTTAGACAAAATATTCACATATATAGGTCATATACATATGCATTTTTTACATAGTTGGGCTTTCACATAACTGATTAAAATAATTTTGTAGCCACATTTATAAAGAACAAAAATTAAGAAAAGCATTAGCAAATACTAAATTAATTAAACAGTTTAGATTATCAGTGTCAAAGTCAGTGCTTGAAACAGCATCATAGATAGAGCTCCCCAAGGCCACAGATGCCTTTTCCAATTCACTAACCACAGATATGACAGAGAATGGACTTCTGAGATTTGTCTGAATTTCTGAGATTTGGGGGCTTTTCCCTTTTTATCCCAAAGGACATACACCCACAGCCAGCTGGAATACACATTGTTTTGCCGATGTTTGAGGAAATCTTGGGGTTCTAACTTTACATAGGGCAGGTCACATACAGGTATATGGCCCCATATCTCCCCCCTCACTTGAGTTCTGTTTGAAGTGACGCTATATGGACCCAGACCCCCAAGGGCAAATGCAGGCTCATGTAGCCAAAGCCCTTGAGCCCCTTTTGGCTTCCCTTGACAGTTCCCCTTCCTTGCAACTCCTCACACAGCCACACTAGTCCAAAGCTCAGAGTCGCCCAAACTCCCTTGGTGCTCCCAGATGACCCCATGGTGCCTGGTAGGAAGTGGCTTACTCCAGCCCTTGAGCACTCTCTCAGGGAACTCTCTCAGGGTCTGTGGATCCGGCCACAGAATTTCTTTGCACAACACATGCCTCTTTTCTGAACATAAGCATTGTTTTCAGGCCTCCGACATGTTTCTTTCCTTGACATTCTGTCATCCTTTTCTGACCTCAGTTGCTCCCACAGCCCCAGTTCCCTTCATAAGCTTCCATGTTGTGGGTGCCGGCATGGACAGTGGGATTCTTGTCTGGCGTGGCCATTTATCAGTTGTGCAATCTGGGAGAAGCCACTTTGATGTCTTTGAAATGTACTTTCCTTATCAATAATCTAGGGGATAAAAATGCCTTTCTTATTGGGTGGATTAGAAATTCAACCCATTACCTTGCGCTGCTAATCCCCCTTTCTTCCTCAGCGTTTCTTTGTACCATTTCATTCCTCTGGATACAGGCCCTCCAGGGAGAACTGAGAACCACAGATCTCTTGTGTGCTCAGACAAGCATCACTGAAACTCAGCAATAGTTTGTGGTGCAGACCCCACCCATCCTTTGAGTCCACACATCATTGTAGGGGAAGGCATTTGGCGCAGATTTCAGCCTACTCACTAATGTCAGAAACACTGCTTTAAGGCTGCAGTTACCAGATTTGCTCATCTACAGCAACTGAGTAAACCAGTCACATGGGTAATGTTCTCTTCACTTTCTACTTAGCCTAAAATTTGGATAGAGCACAGGGATTGCCTTCACCTAGATGTCACCACAACCTACTGATCTGGCAAAATTTTGTCACATGATAAATTCATTTGGTGAGGATTAGAGATGAAGGAACAGCATAACACTCCTTTGTCACGTAAATAAGGAAAGAAACTGGTACAATAAGATGGTAACAGCTAATATTGTACGAGATCCTGCCCTGGGCTCTTTGCTCGGATTATTTAATTATCACGGCAGTTCTATGGAGTAAGCATTGAATAATTCCTATTATGCAGATGAGAAACTGAGGCTTAAGGAAGGATAATAAATTGGCTAAGATTACGGAACTAATAAGTGAAAGAATCAAATTTGGTTTTTTTTCCCCCTAAGCCCAAGTATTCTGACTCCAGAGTCTACGGAGCTTATAATCAGTAGACAATATTTCATTATACAGACGCTGGTCGTTACACATCATTTAGATAGCAATGTCTGATTTTTTAAAATACATTTACTCCAATTTCTCTCTGTAACTCTTTCTCTCTATATGGCTTTCCTCCTCTATAGCTCTGACAGGCCAATGTAACAATGAAATAAACCTCACGTGTCATAGTGTTTATGATGCAGCTATACTATAAAATACTATAAACAAGAACCTTTTTTCCTTGGTATTCTTCGTTGCATATATATCAACATCTCCATTTTCGTAACTCCTGAGCACCCAGGGCTGCTAAGTATTTACAGAGGTTATAGGTCCCCAAACCCGTTGTAATTTAAATTCCGTACCTGCCAATTTTAGTTACCATAAAGTATCTTTCAGAATCAACTGGGTTTACATCTGAACAAGTCATATTTGGAGCAAGTCATGCACTACATTGTACAAAACACACAGAGCAGATCGTGCTGTGTCATCACCAAGGGGAAGCAGCCAATATTTTGCTATGTGGCAGGTCTTCTTATTGTCCTTTACTTTGCTTCCTGATGTTCAGGTTTTCATGAAATTTAGAATAGCATAAACTCTATTCTACTAGCAGGAATCTAGAGAAACAATGTGCAGCTGGCTCTAACTCTAGCTTTTCTATTACCTGAGCCATTAGGTTCTGGGATCTTGGAGATGGTGTAGGTTTCTTCAGACCTCAGTGGTCTCCTCCGTAAAATTAGACAGATTAAGTGATTTCTAAATTCCTTTCGGATGCTGACATTTGGTGCCTCAACAATCCCAGGAAAACAGTCAATTCTGTTTTATTCCCTTTTCAAAACACTCATGGTGGTCAGTTCACCTCCCACTCTCTCTGAAAAGGGCTGGCCCAGAACTCTGTGCCAGGCCACCCAGCACCTGCTCTTCCTGAGGCTCAGAGAGCAGAGATCAAGAATCCTCCATAAACACTTGCAGGACATTCTTAATACTAAGTCAAAAGGCATCTGTCCTGCTTGAGAAATAAAACCTATGAAAAAGCAAGCACAGTGGTCAGAAAAAAAGCTTCTCTTTTTTTTTTATTTTTATAAGTGTCTGAAGAACAGGTGGTGTTTGGCTACATGAATAAGTTCTTTAGTAGTGATTTCTGAAATTTTGGTGCACCCATCACTCGAGCAGTATACACGGTACCCAATTTGTAGTCTTTTATCCCTCACCCACCTCCCACCTTTCCCCTGAGTCCCCAAAGACCATTGTATCATTCTTATGCCTTTCATCCTCATAGCTCAGCTCCCACTTATGAGTGAGAACGTAGGATGTTTGGTTTTCCATTGAGTTATTTCACTTAGGATAATGGTCTCCAGTTTTATCCAGGTCACTGTGAATTCCATTATTTCATTCCTTTTTATGACTGAGTAGTATTCCATGGTATATACATACCACAATTTATTTATCCACTTGTTGATTGATAGCATTTGGGCTGGTTCCATGTTTTTGCAGTTGCACATTGTGCTGCTGTAGATGTGTGTGTGCAAGTATCTTAGATAAAGCCTTTTCTTATAGAACATATGGTGTACACTTGTATAAAATGTAGTGAATAGCAGCAGAAAGCGTTGGAATATGGGACTTAGGAAAACCTGGGTTCAAATTTTTTCTCTGCCCATTTACCAACTATGATGTTGAAAAAGGGACTTCACTGGTTAAACTTCCATTTTTCTTAATCAAAAAAAAAAGTACTGAATATTATCTGTCTCTAGAAACTGTCATACATATAAAATCTGAATATAATCTCCTCCCAAGGTTTATAGGGGAGGCTGAATGTGAAGCACCCCAGAGAACCCTAAATCTCCCCAACCCTGATTATCCTCAGTCTGCACTGAAGTGGACTTGTTCATGACACACAGAAAGACTTCGGGGCAGAAGCTGGCAGGAAGAGAACACCAGAACCATTAAAGGCCATATCATTAGCGAGATAGATTAGGGCACTGGCAACAAATGATTAGCAGAAAGTTGTATAGTTGGAGGGACCCAATTTGGTGGTTGAAATAAGAATGTGAATTACAGCACATGAAGATACTCAAAGTCACATGGCAGCAGGCAGGGCTGCGTTTCAGATGCTGAGCCTGGGAACAAGGTCTAGCCCAAGGGAGTTGGCAAAAGCTAATTCGAGTGTCAGGGCCTCAGCCACAGCAGCTGGGGGATTTAGATAGGACTCTAATCCCAGGAGGAAACGCGTGGCAAAAACTGAGCTGAGGCTCAGAAGATCAGTCACATAGGTAAAGCTACCATGGAGGACTTGGGGACAAGCTACGGTTCAGTTGATTAATGGTTGGGTGGGGCTCAGCCCGGCTCCTGATAGCCACTGGGAGGCTGGTGGATGCATCCCAGTGGAAGGAACCATGACCCTTCCACTGGGAAGGTCAGTGACAGGTTCTGCAGAGCCTCATGTGGGGTCCTTATTTGGGGTGTAACTTGCTGAATCAGCCAGAGTCTTCAGTCCCCTAATTGCCAAATGAGAGAAAGAAAGCAAGTGACTCAGTCTAGAGTTTTCACTGCTTCCTGATCCAGGTGGGAAGCTGGATCTGCTAACCTTTGCTCTCTTTTCCATCCTTTCAGTGAAATCCTGCCCAACTCCACCGTGCAGTGGGAAGAAGTGTGCCGGCCCTGGGTCTCTGGGCCTCGGAAGCTGATAGCCAGCATGAGCAGTGATTCCCTGAGACATGTGTATGGCGAGCTGGACGTGCAGATTCAAAGACAACCTTCCATGTGAATGCACAGGACGCTGAGATGAACCCAGGAAATTTGGTCTCTTGTAGTCTTTGCTAAGGAAATTCAAATGCAAAAATAGTCAGCTCTTGCTTTGGCTTAGGTGTGAAGACCCAGACAGGAATGGAAGGGCCCCGGAGTGGGGATCTCATGTATTTCAAAGACATACTTTTCAAAACCCAGGCTATTTGGCATGGCAGTTAGTTTTTAATCACTCCACCTTCCAAAGAATGCTGAGCATTACCTTTAATTAAGCTCGAAATTAAGCTCTCATAGCTCATAAGAGTAACAGTCATCATTTATCATCACAAATGGCTACAGATCCAAATATCAGCAGACTCTCTTACCAGGGAGATTTGCTCAATACCTGGCCTCATTTAAAACAAGACTTCAGATTCCCCACTCAGCCTTTTAGGAATAATAGCACATGATTTGGGCTCTGGAATTCTATTCCCCTTTCTTGGAGTCAGGTTCTACCCTCCATGTCAGAATATTTTTCCTAGGACTGGAGCACAACATAATTTTTATTTTTGGCAAAGCCAGGAAAAGGTCTTTCATCTTGCACCTGCGGCCAAGCAAACGCCTGCCAAATTTCACAGATTTACCTTGTGAGAAGATGTGGCCCCATATTAACAAATTGCATTTGTGAGAAACTTAATCATCTACAAGGAGATAGGAAAGCAGGTGAAATGCTCAGGTCTATTGAATAATGTAGTTTTATGGTGCATTTTATAGAAGGTGTCACGCTGTGGCCTGATCAGCAGGAACCAATATCCCTTACTTTAATCCTTTCTGGGGTGCAATTCTAGGAAGTAAAGTGAGGAATTTATCTCTTTAGTTAGTGATTATATTTCACCTATCTCTCAGGAATCATCTTTGCAGAATGACACAGCTTCAGGTTCCTTTTCAGAGATATAATAAGCCCAACAAGTTGGAGAAGCTGGCGGTTCTAATGGCCAGATGTGTAGAAGGACAGCAGCCACCGATTATCTCTTGTCCTTCACACCACCCATGTTGAGACCTCAGCTTGGCACTCAGGTGCTGAAGGGTAACATGGACTCAGCCTTGCAAATAGCCAGTGCTAGTTCTGACCCAACCACAGAGGATGCTGACATCATTTGTATTATGCTCCAAGGCTACTATAGACAAGGCTACATGCTATTTATTTGCAAAGCTGATTTATGGTCAGAATTTCCCACTGACATATCTAGAGTGTGAGTTAGGTCAGCAGGCTGTGATTCTTAGCAAAAAAATGAACAGTGGTAAGACACTGGGAGCAAAATCAGAATAGAATGCTCTGGTCTATATAACCACATTTCCAAGCCTTTGAGACTGTTTCTGAGCCTGCAGCACTAACCTATGAGGGTGAGCTGGTCTCCTCTATAGATACATCATACTTAACTTTACTAAGTAATCTCACAGCATTTGCCAAGTCTCCCAATACCCAATTTTAAAATGAAATACATTTTGCTAGATAAACTGGCTTAACTTAGTATACTATTACTAATTAGAATGTCATAGAAGCTTAAAATAAAGTTAATCTGATTAGATTTGCATCTGCACAGAAGTGAATGCTCTTAATTTTCAATATAATATACTACTAATCACAACTTATTGAGAAACTATCCTTCCTCCACAGTAGACAACCCCCCCTGGATAGGAAAACAAGCATTTATCCTCTGAAGAAAAGGACTCTAACAGGTGTTAATGTCACAGTTAGTTTTCTTCACCTCTCTCTTTCTACATTTTATTAGCTACATTCACTGAAGGATCAAGTTGCATATTTAGTTCAAAAACAAGCTTCCAGAAACTGTAAAACCTCTGTAGATATTTTCTCCTGAACAATCTCATGAACCATTGTGGTGAATCAGTGGATAGCCAGCATGGAGGCCTAGCATAATGAACAACTGTTACAATCTTACAATAGGGATGAAAAATATATGACAATCATGTGTAAGAGATCCTGTATTCGTGGCAGACATCAATGAACAATTGTAGCTCAGATAAGACCTCAGAATCTTTCCCAAATCCAGGTAGCAATTAGCAACTGATTTGAAACTAGCACCTAAGACAGAACGTGTTTGTCGTGCTTACCCTTAAGAGCAGCCCATCCCCTCTGATAGCTGGTATTTCACACATGTATTAATGCTATGGCTCTAAAAATTATAATTTAGCAATGGTAACAAGCAGTGTGTCTCAGGTAGCAGCAGAGACTATGAGTTCTAACTCTCCCTGAGTCTCTGCCTGTGCTAGTCCTTAAGGCTTTTTAAACAAATCCTTATTGATGTTTAGAACTTCAATGACAAAAGAAGGGAAACATAAGAAACATAAATATTTTCATTTCTTTTGTTTCTCCTGAGGGATATTTCAAACAAACCTTAACAACAACACATATGAGATGACAGATAGATAGATAGATAGATAGATAGATAGATAGATAGACAGATAGATAGATAGATAGATAGATAGATAGATAGATAGACAGATAGATGATAGATAGTTTTTCCAAATAATTTCACCTCAGCAGCCTTGTGAGACAGAAGTAAATATCGTTATCTCCATAATTAAGAATGTAATTGAGCCTAGGAAGCTATGCATCACGGCAAATCAAGCTGGGGGTGGGAGTGGGCAGTGAAACAACTCTGGTTTCAGAATCATCTCTTGCTGTACACTGTTTAAGTCTTTCGTTGCTCCATCAGAGTTTTAACAATGCTAACTTAAGACCAACTTCAGGATTCTTTGAAGAGCTGCAGTATAACAACAAATAAAAATATGTATAAATTTATATTAGAAATGTCATGAGAAATGGAGTTTGTGCTAGACACATTGGCAATCAAAAGTCACAGAATCCCAGGGGGAAAGTCATTGTTTATGAACATTTGTCCAGTGTTGTTAAAAAGTTAATAGTCAACCAACCCAACCATCCATTCATTCACCTTTTCTACAATCCAACCATCCCCTACATCCGGGAAACCATCTAGCCTTCCAGCCATCTATCCATCCTTTTTTCCAGTTATCCACCTGAGCATACATCAGGTATCGTTTTAGAACACAGGGATTCAAAGACGAAAATTCCATTGTTCCTGCGCAGAAAGAGTTCATAAAGCAGAGGAGTACCATGATATTTAAACAGATAATCCACAACCAGATAATAGAGCTATGCTCGGAGTACCATAGGAATAAAGACAAAAAGTTGCCTGAAGAAGTCTTCTATGATGTTCCCAGGAATAAAGGAGGAAAGGTTTGGATTGAATCTTGAGTAAGTAATAGGTAAGTTTGAGACCACTTAACAAAGAAGAGCTCATGTAACAACCTAGAGAGAAGAACGCGAACATAGCCTTCAATGGGCTTGGGATGGAGAGATGGTAAGTATAGAGAGAGAAGAGGCGAGGCCAGAAACGCAGGAATGGGTCTGAGTTGGAGCATTTCCCGAAATGAGAATTTGTTTCTTCTGGTATGTATTGTAGAGAAGAACTAATAGAGGCTGCTGGAAAGAAACTGGATACAAAACTAAAAGTTACTGGTGGCTCAAGGAGTGACAGGGCCAAGATAGTACGGGGCGGAATGCCCTAATTCAGATTGGTGAAAAGGGTGTCAGAATGGGGGTGTGGCCACCGTGGGTTCAAGGATCAGAAATGAGACGTTCAAGAGCTCAAGTGGCTAAAGTGGTAGAGATAGCACGTAGGGGACTGTCCATGTCAGAAACTATAGAAGTTTGGACAGACAAGTTCCTAGATGCTAAACTTTGGGCAGCCAAGTAATCACCATGAGCAGGGCCCCACTGAAGACCCAGGATCTTGCCCCTAAGGCAGGCATCCCCAGACTTTTTACACAGGGGGCCAGTTCACTGTCCCTCAGACCGTTGGAGGGCTGCCACATACTGTGCTCCTCTCACTGACCACCAATGAAAGAGGTACCCCTTCCTGAAGTGCAGGCGGAGGGCCAGATAAATGGCCTCAGGGGGCTGCATGCAGCCCGCGGGCCATAGTTTGGGGACGCCTGCCCTAAGGTATGCTCACATCTGTCTTTGAGGCAAAGTTATCTAACCCAATACCTAAAAGAACTGCTTCCAGAGACATTCCTTCTCACCTTAGGACAAGTTTGTCCTTCTGTTCTCACCACCCCAACACAATCCTTTCTACATTAGAATGAAGAAGACACAAAAAAAGCTTTCTAGTGTTTCTGTAAGAAATCATTTTGTGAGATTTCTCAAATAAATGAGAAACAAAGTACCTCAGTTGCATCAGGAAAAGGGACAGGGAATTGTGTTCACCTCAGTTGCCAGGAATTATACTCAACATTTCTAGCTCTAAAGACAATGGACATTTTTTAAAGATACTTGGTAAACTAGCTGCTGATACTGTTCATGAACTCCTATTCATTTTCACACTCATCATTGTTCTAGGACTTACATAATTATCTAAGTAATATTTCAACAGTCCCAAAACTAACATAAGGGGTCCTAATGAGTATTTCCTATTCATAAACAGCATGTACCCATAAACGAAGAGGATTCTTTCCTCTTCTCTCTGATTTGAGCAAGTTTAGACAGTGGGAAGGTACAGTATGAAAAACACATTACCATCAGATTTAGAATTTGTTATGAAGTTGGCAGATTTTAAATGACCATAAAATGATTGTCACTCTTTCCATTGAGAGACGGAACTCACATTCCCTCTCCCACCCTTGATTTTAGGTGGGCTGTGACTGATTTGATTGAAGGAATGTGATTAAAAAAAAAAAAACAATGCTGCCAGCTCTCAGCTCCAAGCCTTGGAAAACCGGCAGCTTCCACTTATTGTCTCTTGAAATCCTCTTCATAGAAGGCCTCAGCTTATCCATAAAGGCTCAACTACTCCTGAGACTGCCATGCTGGAGAAGCCACATGAATACACACTTCAATCTTCCTCTGAGCTTAGCCTTCCAGAGACCTCTGCCAAGGCACCAGACCTGGTAACAAGGCTATTGGGGGAAGCAGCAAAGGGGAAAGAACTGGCAGAGTCCCTGCAAGTCTGGTTACGTCTTAGTGCTACGAAGGGGTTTTACGTTCTTGAGTACAATGTTTATGGTAACGGAGCCTAGGTCACCCTGCCCTGGAACATGAGGCATGAGGAAGTTTGCCTCTCCAGAGGCCTCTGGCAGTTTGCAGGGGTTTGTTGTTCGCAGTTTATAGGTTACTCATAACCAATTTACGTAGGCACTCCGTAAGTCCTTTCTCCTTTGCTGCTTCCCCCAACATCCTGGGCTCTCCAGATCAGCCCATCCACCAGCTGGATATCACCAAGTGACCTGAGTCAATGTCACTTAAGAATCACCCTGCCCAGCCTTGCCCAAATTCCTGTTCCACCAAATGATGAGATATGATTAAATAGTTAGTTTTAAATTTTTAATTGGTACATAACATATGTACATATTTATGAGGTTACATGCATAGAATGTGTAATGATCAAGTCAGGACTTTTAGGATATCGATCACTATGAGCAGTTACCATTTTTGTGTGTTGGGAATATTTCACATCCTCACTTCAAGCTATTGTGAAATGTGCAATTCGTTGTTGTTAACTGTTATTTTAAGCCAGTAGGTTTGAGTCGTTGGTAATGCAGTAAAACATTACCAGAACACTAAGCCTAACAGTCTCAGGAAAGAGAGCAATTTACTGGTTAATGCTCTTCTTTGCTTCAAGGAAATACTTAGTGTTTTTGAACTTTATCTGTTCTTTCTGAAAAATATGTACAGGTATGCAGTTTGTTGTCTCTCAGAAGACTTCACATATGTCAGGAGACCTAATGTGTACTCCCAAGCATAATAGTTTAAACATTGCCATTTCCTTTAACTCTTCTTGCCAAACTGTGGTTTTTGTGGGCCTTTTACCATCCTTATCTCAATCAAGATTTGGTTAGACGCCATTAAGAATAACCTGAAAATGACAGAGAGATCACAGTGATGAAAGATAAAGTACCTCTTTCACAAAAACCTGGGAACTGAGGCCTTCCCATGGAGAACCATGAGGAGATATCGGATTCTTTACCTGCCCCATGAACCCAGTCTACCTGCAAGCTGAAGTACTCAGGAATGCCCAGTCTGGTCATGAGTACCCATTCTATTTTTTTTTTCTTCTCAGATATTAAAAAATGTCTTGATTTGCACACAGATTTATACTGACATAGCTCAAACTATGTGAAACAAAGTAGAATAAAGTAATTTACTTTTATATTAGTTATACCTAACCCCAAAATTTGCAGCCACTGGAATAAGTAAACCCAATAAAGACCTGGAATCAAGTGTTTCTGGTTAAATGTGAGTGAGAAACCTGCAATGAGTGCAGGAAGTCAGTTGCACTTTGCCATGACTGACAGCAGTGACCCAAGATCAGTCTTGCCTTCCAGCAATGTGTCCTCAGCCCTCACCGGTGGCCACAATGGCCAGCCATTCTCTTGCCCAGACTCTTTCTACAAGGACGATTTGTGCCACAGCTGGGATCCCACATTTTTGTGTAAACCATTTCATCAGAGCACTGTCCAAGACCCACAGAAGGCCCATGTCTAGGTGGTCTCC